CAATAATGAAAAGACAAGCCAATTAAAAAATGGACTAATGATCTCAATAAATGTTTCTGTAAAGATTTACAAATGACCAATAAGCACATAAAAAGATGGTCAGTGTCATTACTCACTGGAGAAATGTAAAAACAACAGTAATAAGATACTAGTTCACATCTACTAGAATGGCCATAATAAAAAAGACAGGGAGTAACAAATGTTAATGAGGATGTGATAATATAAAATGATGTAGGCACTTTGGAAAATAGCCTTGCAGTGCTCATATAGTTAAATATAGAGTTTTAAATTTCCTAACCATTTCATTCCTAGATGTTACTCAAAAATTAAAAACATATGTTCACACAAACATTCGCATATGAAACTCTACAAAACAGAATTACTTATAAACAAAACATGGAAATACCCAAGCTCTCCATCCACTGATGAATGGAAAAACAGAATGCAGTATATGCATAGATGGAATGTTATTCAGTCATAAAAAAGAATGAAGTACCAATTCATATTACAATGTCAATGAACTTTGAAAACATTATAAGTGACAAGGAGACCACACATTTATGATACGGTTTACATGAAATGTCTAGAATGGGCAAATCCATATAGGTAGAGAGAAAGATTACTGGTTGTCAAGGGTTGACAGAGAGAAGGGAGGGTGTACTGATTATTAATGGGCCTAGAGTTTATTATGGGAATGATGAAAATGTTCTGGAATTACCTAGTAGTGATTGTTGCACAACTTTTAGAATACCCTAAAAGTAATGGAAGTGTACATGTTGAGGGATAAAATTTATGGTATATACATTTTGCCTAAATTTTTTAAAAATCAAGGAAACTATATTTGTCTCCTCACTTAAATGGCCTGAGCCATGTATACACGTATACACATATATCTATATATTTGTATATGTATATATGTGTATACATGTATACATGTATATTATTGTATACATATATTAAATACACACACACACACTCAGTTAATGTGATGATTATTTTTATGTGTCCTCTTGATTGTGTTAAGGAATACCCAGGTAGTTGGTAAAATAATATTTCTGGGTTTATCTGTAAGGTGTTTCTGAAAGAAATTAGCATTTGAGTCAGTAGACCAAGTAAAGAAGTATAAATAGGCACCACCAAGGGGCTAAGGGCTCAGATAAAACAAAAGATAGGCTTGATCTCTAGTCTACAGCTGGGAAATCCATCTTCTCCTGACGTTGGAGACTGTTCATGGGGGTTTGAGACTCCAGAACTTTTATTAATGGACTCCCATGTCCTTAGGCCTTGACCCTGGACTAAGAGCTAGACCCTTGCTCCTCTGATTCTCAGGCCTTAGTACACCACCAGCTTTCTATTTTCTAAAACTTGCAAAATTGACAGTGTCTGCTGGGGACTTTATGATGATGGTACCAAGAAAAGCAATAAAAAGATAATTTTACTTTAAATTAAAAATTAAATGGCTGTATTGTGAAATATACCTTGAAAATACTATGCTTTGTGTTCTAATAATCTCAAAGATGATGCAAACTGATGGAAACAGGAATTAAGAAATTATACTGTGAAAAGGGGAAGAAAAGAACAGACATATTTTTAAAAGCAAAAGAAAATTATTTATGCATCCTATACAACATTTTACCTTGCTCTATCTTTAATTGTATTATAAAGCCTTTTTCCATATCAGGAACGTTGGCATTTCCTAGGCCAGAAAATTTAATAATTCCACCAACAATTTGGTATAACTTGTCCAAAGAGCCAAAGGAAGTGGTACAAGTGAGCTCTTGTCAGAAGCCTGGAAGGAGCTGAGGAAAGGTAATGTTTTTCTCCAACTTGATTCTTTTCTAGAATTCTCTAACATGGTGGCCTCTGTTGCAGGCCTGGCCAGGTAATGCAGATCTACCAACAACCTGCTTCCTGCATGTGGGAGCTAGAATGATAGCAACATAATAAGAGGGAATGGAAAGAAAACAAGTGGCATTTGAGGTTATTGTGACAGAACACAGAGAAAGACAGAGAGAGGGGAAAAAATATAAGAAGAGGAAATTAAAATAAGTGCGAAAACAGGAATGCAAAACAGACTTTAGTATCCAGGAAGACCAAGTGCCATATGTTTAAATATTGAAAAGTTCTAAATCGGGCTAACAAATATTTATTTATTCTGGCCTCCTATTTTGACAAAGATGCCTTCATAAACAAGGTTAGGCCAGATTTAGAATTACTGCAATAAGATTCGCCCCATGGGAGAATCCGTGGGCCTGCAGCCCAGCCCGGCTCCTTTTCTGTCTTCTGACTTATTCCCATATGCAAAAGGATCCTGTACGTCCCTCTAGGTATTTCAGACCAAATGGTCCACACTCCTGCAAACCACAGCCCAAAGCCACCCCCCACCGTGCATGTTCTGTCTGCCCTTAGGAGCACCACCTCAGGGAAGAGACCTGTGCAGATTCTGGAAGTGGGGTTGAGCAGGGAATTCATAGGTTCCAGTTACCTTCATGTGGTTTAGGAGGTTCTGCAAGGGGCACAGGATCTGAACTGGCACATCTCCTTCTCATAGATTCCTTGCTCCAGAGGAGGGCCAGGGTGAGGCTCTCTGAAGCAGAGAGCTCAGGACAGAGATTCTTCTAGTAAGAGTCAAAGAATGGAGTTGACAAGAGTTAGCCTCAGGCATAAACCTCTTCTAAAATGGGGGGAGTAGACCAGGAGGCAAAGAAATAGATAGATAGATAGAAGTGAAGACAGAGTTGGTTTGCCACACAGCAACTTGGGATTCAATAAAAAGGCTACGATGAGAAACTTCCTCTAAAAACGGAAGACTATTAGAAAGCTGAGAACAAGTCAAAGGGGCACAAATGAAGGAGAGGAGACTGTTCCAGACACCATTGCAGAAAAATTAATTCATCATACTCTGGAGTATCATCAAAATGCAGCTGAATTCAAAACTGGGTGGTAAAGGTGTAAAATATGGAAAAACAAAAGAGATTTGGCAAATGGAATTGTGTTGGATATTTTTGGTGTAGTCCAAAAAACATTTATCACTTAGAAGATTAGATTTGGTCCTAATGGCCAAATGAGAAGAATCGGGAAGAGCAAAACTGACTGTGGATGGCAGGGAGATGTGAAAGGTAGGCTATGTGGCCAGGGAAACTGGTGGTGTAAGAAGAAAATCAAGAAAGGGAAAACTTTCCTCCCTTTGTCCTGCAATATTTGTGAAGCCGAGTGAAGGCCAGGGAGTGGAGAAGTAGGCCAGTTATACTTTGTCATAGAATATTCGTGACTATTATTTAAATAGCATAAGAAATAAATATATGTCGTTTTGCTGTGATATTCATTCCTCCCGTTCCAATACGGGCATACCAGAACAATTCTCTTTTGCATAATCCCAAATCCTGAAGAATATAAAGTGATTCTTGTCAGCAGTGCTTAGCTGTAAAATGCCTAACCACTTAGAATCAAGATTTTCCCATTTAGGTGTAGCAGAAGGGTCTGTCTTATTTAGAAAATGACACCTGCTGTTAAGGGAAGATTTCTTTCATAAGAAGACATTTATTAAGCTAGTTTTGTTAATAAAGTATGATAAGCTATTCTTTTATATTTAATTGTTACTTATATGGTTCTTTATTTTAAATCTTAAACTCTGTTGAATTTAATGCCAATATACATTTACTTTGGGAATAGTGATTTAACTTACTACTAACTTAATTGATAACAAAGTGAAAAAAATGAGAAGATAAAATTTGTGCACAAAAGCAGAGACAAGAACATTTCCTCTTTTTATTGCAGCTGGTTATTCCACATGACAAGAAAAATTAAACTGGGATTTAGAGACTTTTTCTTATATTAAGTAGAGTACTTTTACAATTTTACTTTAATTACCTTCAGATTTTTGTTTGTTGTCTAAATTAATGAATGGACTTTTGTCTCCCATTTATCATTGTCATATCTCTTGAGTGAAACTGCTTTCTTCATGTCAGATATAATTTAAGCAAAAAAGAAACTTCCAGAAAAATTCTAATTATATTTTTTAGATTTTTTTGGTACAATGACATTCAGAGGGTACCCAATTTAATAATCTACCTTAGATTAAATTTTAAATGTTGAGAAATGCTACAGGGTAATTCAGGCCTCTCATTTTTTTCCTATTTTGCCTGTCTGTGAACACTAACCATGTACTGTGGTACCAGATTTGGTTAGCACTTCTCAATAGAAACAAAGGAGCTGATGACATTACAGATGTATTAATGTCTGATGTGAACAGATAGGTTGTCACTAGGTCTCGGGAAGTTTCCAAATGTTTGCCCTTTATTGCCAGGTTTATAAAAAACCACAGCTAATACATTCTCAGCACTTTTACACCTATCATATACTTTTTGAGCTTGTTACATCTATTAACATACATAATCTTCACAACCATCCTATGAGGTAGGTATATTATGATCCCCATTTTAACACTGAGAAAACTGAGGTACAGAGAAGTTACATACCTGTCAGAAGGAAGATTTGAACCTCACTGATCTGGATCCATCTCCCACGCCTCTAACTCTAGTTCATCTAAGAAACTAACATTACAATTAATTCGTCCACTTTTGAAAAATCTACTTTTTTCCCATAATCTAAAACTCATTACTTGTATGGAAAGAGACAATCCAGTCTTGAAATAAAGTTACTAAAGTATGTAACTATAAACTGAGTGTCTCAAAATATTTTTTCTTTTTTGCTTTCAAATTTAAAATGTGTTTATAAATGTACTAACTTTAATATTTGTGTAGGAACTAAGCAAGTGTTATAACTAGTCCACTTGCATGAAATCACCTTTATATTATGTAAATATACACACACACTTTGAAGTAAGGCTATGTAATTTAATTGTTGGAATTTGTTTGCCCCAGTACATTGTATTGCTGCAAAAATTATTAAAATTCCTTCTTCTATAAAGCTGAGAACATAAACCTGAAAAGGCTTCCTTTATCTAACTCTATCCTCATCCCAATTTCTTTTACTACCAGGGGAGAGGAGAAGAAGAGTAAATAGGAGAAGAGCAGTGGTCATCACCTTGGTTGCAAGAGAGTCCACTGATCCCTCAGTGGAGGGCACGAAGTCACTCTAATTAATATTTTAAATGGCACTTTCTGATGGCGTCTCCTGGAGAGGGATCGTCAAGGGGAGCAGTTTCTACATAAATCTGGACAACTTGGAGTTTATATATTCAAGGCCAGAAACTCACCCGTCATACTTACCAGCTTTTTCTGGGTCACGTAAGCAATAGAAGCTTAAGGTTGCTCCTGATTTGCATGGATCTTGGTGTCCTGAATGAATGTCATGCTCCAGGAAGTTGAGAGATGCAGATTAAAATACCTGATGCAGTGCTGTGGCTATCTGCTGCCTCTCCTGTCTTGTTTTGCAACAATTTGGGAAAGAAGGTTCTGTCCCACCTGGGTGCTCCATTATACCTGCTCTTTGGTTAGCACTTTTCAATAGAAACATGGTGTTCGTTGTGATGTCCTGTTGTCGTGTTTCTTGGATGGTGGCATTCTCCTTCCATTTCATGGAAGAATGTAAATTCTTCCATGAAATGTGTGCCTTAGTAAATTACAATGATGGGTTTCACTTCACTGCTTAATTAAAAAAAAAAAAAACATGCACGCATGCATGCACACACACACACACACACACACACACACACACACACACACACCACAATTATAAGGTAAAGAGGAAAGCCACTTTGAAGGATTTGAATATTTGCAAACAGCTATTTATGCAAAGCACATTTTCTTAAGGGAGAGTAAGTCAAAGGCATCCTGTCAAATTCAAAGACAAGAAAGCTTCTCTAATGGTATTTTGTCTCCTCCAGAGTATTTGGGAAACAGAACAGAAAGCAGTGATCCCTGAATCAATAGATGAATGGGAAGCACACAATGTGATTACAGTGTGTTACATGTAGAAAAATGTCATGTCCCTATCTCCCCTTGAAAAATAAGTAAGGGTGGAACCAAAAGATCCAGGCAAACTTCAAGTTGTTTATATAAACTTTTTTTTTTCTTTTAACTGACCAGTGGCACCTCTCCAGTGATTAAAAAAAAAAAAAAGTCTTATCTAGGAGAGGAGACTAATATTCAGTACAATATCTTACCTGAGATTTAATTAAATAGTCTATTATGTGACGGTTTTTCTGTTTAGCTTTTAGGCAATTATTGGCAATAGCAATAGAAAGCCACCTAGTAATAGGGTCCATAAAAAACCACGCTGGGGAGTCTGTGTCTTGGCTTGGCTTGGTTTGTACTAGGAGCAGGTTTGATTGCTTCATCCACGTTACTACAGAGCAAACAACACATTGTAGATCTTGGGGAAGGGGGAGATCCACTGTCTAGACATCTTAGAGTTTGTAGTTGCATTTGAAACAATATTAAATCATTTGATCAACAACAATAATCTATGAAAAAAAATTGCATCATAAAATTAAAGAAATTCCAATACCTCTCACATTAAGTCAGGTGAGACAAGAGACACAGCTAGCCTGGCTTTGGGGGAACAATGCTCAATCAGTGTGTCTTCTCTCAGAATCAGGTTAAAACTATTTCTGAAGTCAGAATGTCCAATTGAGCAGTAAGTAGAATGTGTCTCATTGATCTTTATTGCCTGTGTCTCCAGAAGCATCAGCAAGGATTAAGGGTCATGTTTTATTGAACTAATTGGAACATTTGATCTTAAAATATTCTATTGTATTTGACTACACCAACCTCCAGTGCTTTGAAATAGTGGTACAGATTCAGTCTTGAGGCACAATGTCTGTGTTGACTGTCATAAAGCACCATGAGGGGTGGGACCCAAATTGTAGCCCTCCTGGGATTACGATGCCTTCTAAAATCAGAACTCTATTTTCATCTATTACACATACAATATACCCTGGTGAAATGCTGTTGTGGGATGTGTTAAGACAAGTGTAATATTCTGAATGTCATGCTCCAGGAAGTTGAGAGATGCAGATTTAAATACTTGATGCAGTGCGGTGGCTATCTGCTGCCTCTCCTGTCTTGTTTTGCAACAATTTGGGAAAGAAGGTTCTACACCATTGTATCTGTTTCTTTTTCTTTTCTTTTAAGAATTTTTTTTTTTTTTTTTCGTGATTTGCATTAAAATTAAACTGTGGGCTTTCTACACTACAGGCAAATGCTCTACCATTAAACTATACCTGTGCCTAATGAATGAATGAATGAATTACAAATTAGACCTTTAAAGAGGAAACCTGCTAACAGAGGAGACCTCTTCCCTGTGCCCCTGTGCAACTTCTACCAAAACAAAAAGGCTGTGTGGGACTTGAAGAAAATCAAAGTAACAAAGTAACAGAAAGTAGTTACACTACAATCTGAAAGAGAACAAAGGCAAAACTATATTTCCTTCTTCTCTGATAAACAGTGCCTTTGTAAAAGTAGTCTATGACTCTTCTTTTTGTTTCCAACCATAGCTTTATTTAAAAGAAAAAAAGAAGTTCTTGGGCCCAAAACAATGTTTATTTATAGAGGTTAAAATGTTTAAAAATAAGGTACATGTTAGCACATTTGTTGGAAATATAATGCGAGACACATTTGTCTTTCAAATTTTCTGGTAGCCATATTTTAGAAATAAAGGAGTAAAATTACTTTAAATCAAATATATATATATATATATACACATATATATAATATATATAATATATATTAACCAAATATATTGAAAATATCAACATCTTATCAACATACAATATTATTGAAATATTATATGTTCTTTCTTTTTCACACAAGTCTTTGAAATCTGCAGTGTACTTTATACTTACAGTATATTTAAAATTGGCCTTGTCTCAATCCTCAGTCCAGATGCCTGTAGCCACAAGTAACTACTGCTCATGTAACTCTCACGACAGACAGCACAGGATTGGCAGAAAGTTGGGTCCAGTATGTGGAATCAGGCCATTCTCTGTCCAGAGCCTGCATGCTTATTAGCTATATGGCTATATAAGCAAGTGACTTAACTTCTGTTTTGTGTAAAATGGAAGGAATAACTTCTAACTCCGAGTTTCTTTTTTCCATGGTGCCTGTCATATGGCCATACCCAATAAAAGGCTGCTAGTATTGGAGCACAGTACATTATTACTACAGTGCCCCCATTATTATTCAGTTAAAAGTAATGATGCTAATGTTGGAATATCTGCTATATTCCTAATAAAGTAAAAACATGCACAAGACCCCTGCCGGGCTGTGCAGAGGACATTGAAGCACATTACTGCCTTCATTTATGTTTTGAAACATGTATAGTTATGTACTGCCTCACTACATTTTAGCCAATTATGGACTCTATATACTGGGGTGGTCTTCTAAAATTTTTGTGGAGCTGAGAAATTCCTATCTGCTAGTGACATCATAGCCATCTGAAGTCACAGCGCAACACACTCCCCATGTGTTCCTGATGACACTTGTATAAACAAACCTACTGCACTATCAGTCATGGAATTATGTAGAGTATATAATGTGTGATGATGATGATAAATGCCTATGTCACTGGCTTATGTATTCCCTGTGCTATACTTATCATCATTATTTTAGGGTGTGTTCCATCTACTTACAAAAAGAAAGTTTACTGTAAAGCAGTATGCAATGTTATGCTGGTAATAGCAGCATCCATCTCGTGTTTACCCAGTCTCTTTTTTATGTCTTATTTTTTTAAATTGGTGCATTATAGTTTTATATAAAAGTGGAGTTTGTTATGATATGTTCACACCTGCACGTGACATAGTTTGGTTAATGTTATTCTGCTGGCCTCTCCTTTACCTGCCTCCCTGTGCCTTATTTCCCTTCCTGGACTCCATTGATCTTTCAGATAAAAGATAACTCCCTTTTAAAATTCCTTATTTCTCGGAGGCTGGGGATATAGCTCAGTTGGTAGAGTGCTTGCTTTGCATGCACAAAGCTCTAGGTTCAATCCCTGGCACTGCCAAAAAAAAAAAAAAAGAAAAAAGATCCTTATTTCTCTCTAGCTTCTGAATATAAGAGAAAACATGACTAGGCACCGTGGCCCATGCCTGTAATCTCAGTGGGTCTGGGGGCTGAGGCAGGAGAACCATGAATTCAAAGCCATCCTCAGCAACTTGGTGAGGCCCTAAGCAACTTAGAAAGACACTGTCTTTAAATAAAACATATCTCACTCTTCTTTATGGCTGAGTAAAACTCCATTGTATCACATTTCTTGATTGCATCAAGAGGTCATGGCAAGCCATCAACCTGTACCATCTAGGTGTGTACAAGTGCATGTTATGATGTTCCCATGACAAACTCACCTAATGACACACTTCTCTGACTGTGTTCCTGTCATTAAGTGATGTGTTATAGTGTATCATTCAGACTGGACTTTGGACTTTACTGAACCAGACCTGGGAAACTTTGAGTGGGAAGCCTTTGGCTTTAAAGCATGCTCTTCCCTTAATGAGAAAGATCAAGCATCCTATCCAGTATTCTAGAGGGACTATTTATATTGTTGGAAAGTTACTGAGGATCTAATGCCTGTGCTCAGCCAAGTAAAATGAATGAATTCCCAGAGCCCTCAGATATCATTGACTCAATTACACTTTCTAGGGCTTTAATACTCTCGTTTAATGTTTTGGAAGAATTTATTGCCCTTGCTTGAGTCCCAAAGAATGGTTAATGGTTACTGGCTCCCTAGAGGATACTATCAGTCTCAAGTCTAGGACTTAATAGCTTGATCATGTTGTTGATGATAAAGATGTTTATTGAGCCCTTTGGTACACACCTTGCTATTATGGATTCTCCTTTGCTCCAACTATCTCTGATTTAAATCTGCATTCCAAAACTGAATGGTTCAGGTTTTACTGTTTGTTTACATAGTGAAATTGCATTTAATCAAGACATCTGCATCTTGACTAATTATCAGTTTTCGAAGGATCAAAAAGAGGCAGCCAAAGCAAGTCCTAGAAGTTCATCTTTCTAGCACCAAACTGACTACCTATAGGAGAGACCGTGGTAAACATGCAGTCAGTAACATAGGGAGATGTTTGAAGTCACTACCCTGAAAGCTTTTTTTTAAAAAATCACATATGGCAAAGTCTCTTCTCAAGACTTTGCTTTTGCATGTGCAAGCATGGAGCAGGACCCCTTAGTGATGAAAACTATCATTTCCCTTTTTATTTTTCCCAGCTCTGTGATGGGAAATTAAAACCTGTATAGAAATCTGAACAGACTTGCAATGACTGAAGGATCCTCTTTGGTTTTCACTACTCAGCAGCAAAAGTAACACATTCTGAGCATGTAAAGTACTTCAGCTGAGCTGATGCTTTTCATAAAGAGTCATTCACAGCCAAAACCAATATCAATATCTTGACCCATATTAGCAACACAGAGGAGGGTTTTAAGGTTCATTTAAATAACACTTGGCACCAAAGTGCAATGCCTCAATTGTTT